CCCACCCACAATTTTGATGTTGTCGGGGCCGGGGCGTGAACCGGCGATCTTCGGATCACAAGCCCACCTATCTAACCTCTGCGCCACCACTCCCCCATATCACTGTATATGTCATGAGTTTCACTTTCTGAAATGATTGACAAAAAAATAATTTTTTCACAATATTCAAATTTTTTTTTTAGATGCTCCTTTACATGTAGTATCTGTCAGTTTACGGTTGTGCTTTTGTGCGTTTTTGCAACACAACAGTCATCACTTCTTCCGTGGTTAGAGCTGTGATCCAGTGATGGAAGCTTGTGTGTCCCCTGGTTGACCCTTACCATGTAGCGCCCCCCACCCCCACCTCTCCACCCTTTTTTCACTCTGCTTCTCCATCAGCCTCCTAGGTTGCTCAGCCAACTCAAGCCACCTGATTAAAGGATTAGTGGGGCTGACAGTGTAGCCCCCAACCCCTGCTGGGTACTACCCATAAACCAGACACCTGGCTCTAAGGGAGGAGGCGAGTGAGGGGTGGTTGTTCTTTAGTTCATCCTTATAATCAGTCGGATAAAGAAACACATTTATTAAATAGATTCTTTTTTTCCCAAACATTGCGCTGTAGGTTCAGTTTTTCTCACAAGTTGTTCACGGATGAGTGGAGAATGTATACGTAAGTGATGGCAGGGTCGTCTTTACCCCCTTTCTCCTGCTCTCCTAACCTGCCCCTCTGACTGCTCCCAGTGGCCTGCCAACTTCATATAGTCATGCTGTCATAGTCATAGTCGTGCTGAGTCACAATGTCAGCCACAATGTATCAACCCGACTGCTTTGTTTTGCTCCTGTTTGTCACCACGCTGACACAACCTCCTGCCACTACACTTTGCCAGAGATTAGCTAAAGTACTTCTGGTCTTGTTTTCTGATTTTACTTCTGAATCCAGTGTTCCTGTTTTTTTCCATGTTGGTATTCACAGTAAATATGTGCAAATTAGTGATTACAATTAATTTCACTCCCAATAAAGATAACAAGTGGTGCATCACAGTTTTGTTTTCTTTCCTTTGTTTTAATTATTTTGTTATTAATATTTTTTAGTGTATGATTTTGGTCAAATATCTATATACAAAACAGAGTCTGCAGATTTCAATGATATTGAGACATTCCTAAAAGCTGCAGTTTCCCTTTGGTTCTTTTTATAGCTCATCGTTTGAACTACTGTAAATGAAGTGAGGCAATAGCTGTTCTCACCTTTTAGACTATTGTTGTGTGTGTTAGGGGAAAAAATGGATGAATAAACATAAATATCTTATCTCTTCGTTACCATTTTATAAGGTTTTACTGCCTATCCCATTTGCTTGAGTGAACCCACATGAGCTGCTGGATCCCTCCAAGCAAGAGCATGACCCCTTGGTGCACCCTTGCCCTAATAACCACACGCGTAGACGCTAACCGGCTCAGCTCAGCTTTAGAGGCAGTGCTCATGTTTGAGGTTTATTTGGGTTTCTGATTTGAAAATTTAATTTCATCCATAAAGCATCTTAAAAAGTGTGCAGCATGCTTGTTTTACTTGTACATGAGAATAATTTGACCCCCTCCTCTCCCAATGGTGTTCATCACTACTTTGGTAAAAGAACCATCTTTGGTCATCAGTCTACATCTCTATGATCAGATGTGTCAGGATAGACTGTTTACTTATGGGTCACAGTAGGAAGATTTGTGGATTTGTAATATCGAGTTGACCTGTACAATATAAACTGATTTGACATAATTTGAAGTAAAAACAATTGGAAACTAACTAGGCTTTATTAGTGTTTCAATATTTATTTGGTCAGAGTTCTTTTAATACAATGTACCTGTTTCATCCCAAATCATGAAGCATAAATAGTTGACTTTAAATGCTTTGTTGAAATTTAAATGGCAAAACAACAAAGTCCGTGCTCAATAATCCCGGTATTCAAACCAACATTTTTTCAGTCAGGTCATCTGGATGGTTTCTTTTTTTTTTGTGCTGAAACGTTTTGCCTTCGATCTGGAAGGCTTCATCAGTCAAGGAAACGCACAACAAAACTGATTCTTCCCCCAACAACTTACTCCAAAGTGGAACAAACCAGTTCTGCTTGTGATAAGTAAATGGTAAATGGACTGCACTTATATAACGCTTTTCTATCTTATTTCAAGATACTCAATGCGCTTTACACTAGAATCTGTGTCCTCATTTACCCATTCATACAGCACTACTAGATCTCTACAAAGCTAATAGAACAAATCATTCTAATGAGACTAATCAGTGCTTTATCGCATTCATACACTGATGGGACACACATCAGAGGCTATGAGGGATTCAGTGTCTTGCCCAGGGACACTTCATCATGCTGGTGAAAGTCATCATCACTGCTGGTGAATTCGAACCCCCAACTCTCGCATTGGAGGACGACTGCTCTAACCACTCAGCCACAGCCGCCCCTAATCTAATAATCTAATAAGATGGTCTCTTTGGTATGCCCCCTCCTCCATGGCCGGCCATCTTCCTTGTTGACAGTCTTGTCAAACTGGTTGAAAACAACCAAGTTCATGCTCAATTGTCCAGGTATACAATCCAACATTTTTCAGTCAGGTCACATGGACAGTCTTCCGGATCGAAGGCGAAATGTTTCAGCACAAAAAAAGAAACTGTCCAGATGACTTGATTGAAAAATGTTGGGTTAAATGACAAAAGTTTTGAATGTACAAATCTACTTATGTTCTGGTTAAGTTTTGATTAATAATAATAATAATAATAATATATATATATATATATATATATATATACACAGAGAGAGAGAGAGAGAGAGAGAGAGAGAGAGAGAGAGATTTAATGTGTATCATTAAAGTGTAAAATCTTACACTCAGTAAATTTTTTACATTCATACCAATAATGAATAAGTAATAACAGCCTAAAACAAATCTTCAAACAGCCCTAATTAATTTTCCATTATTAAGTGCAAGACCTTTTTGTTAAAAAATGGTGACTATGGTCTAACATATTTGAGCTTTTTTTCCTTAAAGAACTCATGCAGTAGTGACAAGACTTAAGAGATATCCTGCCAGCTTAAATTAAGTATGATACTATTTTTAATTAAACTAGATTTGTGTTTGTCCAAAGAAAATAACCTCAGCTGTTTGCCTTTAAAATACCAATATCTGGTTTATATCAGATTTTGATGAGGTTTATTTAGGGCCATCAAAGAAAAAATGTACCGTAGTCTGTTTACACTAGAACAGTCATTAAGAATGACCAACAACGGAGGGACACTTTTACACTTTCACAAGATATTGCTACCAGCTAAATACAAAACCTCCAGTTAAAATTCTACTTCAGTAAAATAAGATATCAAACTGCATCAGTGTGGGTTAAAATCTAAACTTGAGCAAATGAATGAGGCAATAGCTGTTGTAACTATTGCTTTGTACACATGTAAAATAAATGTACGGAAAAAACAATATTGTATGCGTTTAGTAGGGTACTTATTGTGGAGCTATCATGTTCTAATACACTGGTGCTCATAATAATGATGACTCAACACAATCTGCTGGCTTCCTTCTTTAGATGGATGACTTTTACTAATTGGCATAATGTATGCAAATGTTTTTGTTCAGTGCCCTGAGATAACTTGTGTTGTGATTTGGTACTATGTAAAAAAAAACTGAATTTAATTGAATTGAACTGAATAACCTCCAGTATAAAATTCAGAAAGCCTTCAAATATTTTTTTCCCCCAACTTTTAGTTTTTTGCAGAAGCAAAGTTTTTCAAAGTGTTAAATAAAATAACTTTTTAAGAAAAATATATCTTATTGTATAAGAGATCATCAGATCATCCCTGATGTATCCTTACATTTCTATGCTGATGATACAGTTGTTTATTGTCGAGCTAAAAAAATAGCTCAGGTTTTCCAGCTTTTGCAATCCGCTTTTGACGTCATCCGGTCAGATTTGTTCGGTCTCAAACTTGTTCTAAACACCGATAAAACCAAAGGGATGCTTTTTTTTTTTGCTGTCCCAGCAAGTCTGATTTCATCTTCAAATGGTGTCCCCATTGAGTTTGTCAGTTCCTACAAATATATGGGTATCTTGGTCGACTCGCATCTCTCTTTTAAGCTGCACCTCAAAAACTTGGTAAAGAAACTGAAAGTTAAACTGGGTTTCTTTTTCAGAAACAGATCCTGTCTAACTCTGAATGGTAGGAAACACCTTGTAACTTTGACTTTCCTTCCCTCCATTGACTACAGTGACATTATTTACATGAACGCTCCTACAAACACTCTGCAGATGTTGGATGCTGTCTATCATTGTGCACTAAGATTCATAACTGGCTGTGATTATCGTACCCATCACTGCACCCTGTATTCACTGGTTAACTGGTCATCATTAACTTCACACAGACTCTCTCACTGGTACATTTTCATCTTTAAATCACTTCTTGGTCTGCTGCCTTCATACATCTCCTCCTACATGTCTCTGCGTGAGTGCATCTACAGTGTGCGCTCTCAGGACATTATTACATGCAGTGTCCCCTCAGTGTGGACTGAACTAGGCAAAAGGGCCTTCTCCTACTCCACTCCCATTTCCTGGAATATCTTACAAAAAGACCTGAAGCTCTTGACCTTGACCTCTCTAAGTGGCTTTAAACATCTGTTAAGTTCCTGGCAAGAACCAATGCAGACGTTCTTGTTTTTAGTTTTCTACACTGTTTTACATCTTAGCTGTTTTTTTTTTTTTAATATATAATTTTCTTTCATTTATTTTTCTCAATTTACATGCTTTTGTGATTGTCTACTGTTTTCATAATTCTTTGTTAAAATCAGGTCTCTCTTGTAAATGAGTCCTCAAATCTCAATGAGACTAACCTGTAAAAATAAAGGTTGAATGAAAGAGATCATTTTCTGGGAAACTTACATGTTGTCGTACAAAAATGTTCCAACATATTTGTTTTATAATGTGGTTTGAGCTGATAAAACTAATCAGTAGTTATTTTCTTTTTTTCCAGAGAGCAACAAAGATGCCCAGTACCAGAAGGTGAAAGTGAAGGCTGAGCCAATGGAGGTGGACCCACCTCCAGCAGAACTCACACCTCCTGCCTCCCACCTGCTGAACTTCAGCACTTTAGGAGCGAGTGAGAAGAGTGAGCCACTGAGTAACCTCTCCGAGACGTTGGCCTGCCCCCAGAAAGATCTATTCTCCCAAGATATATCTGTCAAAATGGCATCTGAACTACTGTTTAAATTGTCAGGTATGTCTTCTCAGGACACACAAACAGTCGAGGCGCTCGATGCTGTTAAACCCACAGTAAACCTGCACCATAACCCTCAGACTCCTTGTAATAGTTGACTCTACTTTGTTTCTGTATGGCAATGTTTGTGAGATAAAGTTGGCAGTCAGCTGCTTGTATTTCTAGATTGTGCCAAGCTTTGAGGTATATCACTCCTCAGAGAAAAGGCATGTGTGTGTGTGTGTGTGTGTGTGTGTGTGTGTGTGTGTGTGTGTGT